TCATTCTGAGTTCACAATCATGTTTCCATTTCGAGATTCCTTGTTTCTATGATATGACGCTGTGTACTTTGATGTGTGCAGAATCTCACGCCTTACGAGATTCCATGTGATTCTGTACAATTCAGGTTGTGTCGTTAGGCAGATCAACATTCATAATCTCCTTACTGGGTAATATTTGTCGCCCCAAATTTTATACAGTATCGTAAAACAGACCTGAAAATTGTAATTATCCTCAAAATTTTATCGGCACTTCAGAGAGTCATCAAAGTCCGCGCTGCTGGGTCACTAGCCAGTACAGTGGCGGGGTGGGCGGGCGCAATGTGCCGTGGGCCCTAAGCCTTCACACACAGAGGCCTCTTTTCCGTGCACCGCGAAATTCCACACGAGTTCTCTTTACCTCTGTTCCCTCTCTCAGCTTCCGCACATTTCTTTCTGTTCTATCAACGCCTTTCCCTGACTGCGACACATTGCGTCTTCATCTACATAACACTGAGCAGGTTGGCATAGCGGTAACGCTCTCTACTTATGTTCGGTTCTCGGCCGGAATACAAGCTACAGGTAAAGCTATCCCTGTAACAAGCCGTAGAGGCCCATAGGACTGTAAGACGTCGAGGCTCCCACATTTTCTAGACAATCGTCTCACAGATGGCGGTGAAGTTGTCAGCCTAACGCGCCGGCCGGTCTTTACCCCCAGGAAAATTCCTGCTACTCATTTCTGTTAGAGGCTGAGTCGACCTGGAGGCTATAGTGCGGCTGGAAGAACTAGGACATCAGCTATACTGACTGAATTTGCTCGGTTTCTCCAGGTAAATGCCAGAATGGTATCTTTATATGCCACGATCACTTCCTTATTCGTGCCAGTTCATCGTCCATCAACCGTCGACGCTGTATAGTGTAGCTACCAACATCTTCGTGATGTAACCCACGAGAGGACTCCACCCTCCAACTCGTGACCTACTTCGCTGGCTCGCCACTGTCGCTGAACGTTATAGGATTCTAGAGGTCTCGCACCATACTGGTCAAAACAAGAAGGCTGAGATTAGCGGAGCCTAGAAATACGTAGAAAGTGTTCAGAAGACCACAGTGGAAGAGACTGCTTTCGAGACCTGGCTGTAGACTGGATTATGATGTTAAATCTTTAAAAAAGTGGTACCGTCGCCACTCGGTTTACACGCACGTCTTTTTGTAGAACCCAGCGGTTCAATACAGTCTTCACTTCAGCCTGCCACTGAGGGTCTATCCTGAGCCAGTTCAATTCACCCCACTTCCTCACGCCTCGTAGTATCATCCGTCCATCTGCTACTCTGTCTGCCAGGTGGGCCGCGCCATAGCTCAAGCGGTTAGTCGCTGGCTTCCCGGGTCTGGTCAAGTGGGATTTGTGGTGGACAAAGTGGCGCTGGGGCAGGTTTTCACAGAGTACTTCGGTCTCCCCTGCCAATCTTCATTCCACCAATTGCTCCACAATCACCCTCACCTATCATCTGAGGCTGGTACAATAGGCCAGAAGTGGCCGCAGTACAAGGGACTCAGTCCCACCCCACTAGCAACGAAAAAAGTCTGCCAGGTTGTCTCAGCCTCTTGCATTTTCAGAGAAAAATTCTGTACCCCTTACTCGTCTCCTCCATGCGTGCTACATGCTTACACCACAACATACCAGGCGGCGTCACTTCCCAGAATGCATTGCGCTTCCATTGAGACATCATATCCAAGATGTTACAGTACGACCGGCCATTCTAACTACCCTTGATTTCTTTCGTGGTGCAGTCCCGTAGTTGCAATCACTGATCTAACAATTAGTCATGATTTTCAGAAGCAACAGGAAAAAGCTCAGTGCAGAATTCCCCGGGCCTGCTCTGGGATCAGAAATGCCAAACCTTTTATATTGTTCGGGACACAGGTCTATATCGGGCACCTGTAAAGTCTGCATTTCACGCGTGTGGTGAGAATGAGCTAGCAACTCAACATGGCAAAAACTTGTGGGAGGGAGGGAGGGGGCTTCGAAATGTTTACGCAGTTTTGCAGTAGAAGTTGGTTTTGTACGGGTGCTTTCCATTCTGTAGTCTCCTTTATCGCTACCATTTGTGGTTCTTGTGTCTCTCTGTTCCACAACTTTTCCGGTTCTACAGCTTTCAGCACTCATTCTCTTCCCTCTCTCTCTCTCTCTCTCTCTGATTTTCATTTACGTCCTTCCCTTCTCGTCGCACTTGCTCTTCAGTCAATATTCCTGTTATTGTCTGCCTAAAACATCCCCCTTTTTTGTAAGTTTTGAGGTTTTCACGGCGATGACTATGAAGAAAGTCGTCTTCTGAATTGCAGCTACAGCTATCTGTATTCGCACGCATCTCAACTACTGAAGATGGAGGCGATATGTTCCTCCGAAACGTAGGTTAAAACCAAGAATATACGGCGCCAGATCCCAGAAGACGACTTTCTTCATCCCACTTTTTTGGTTACGTAATGCCCTGAGCAGACAGCCTTGTTGAAGAGAAGTGTGCGTTGAACCAGATCTCCGGTTTGGCGATTTTTATTCTCATTATGTGTCGGAAATACAATCAAGATGACGTAACAAGCCATTTCATTACCTCGTGATGACGCACCGACAGAGATGTTCCAGACGCAGTGTATGTCTCTCTTCCTGCAATTAGAACGTATGTTTACCTTTCATCCTCGATTGATTGCGTTGCCGGGAGACGCTCTGTTGTCCCGCAGAGGACGGCCCAGCGTCGTGCTTGTTACGTCAGGCACTAAGTGTAGGTCCGTCGGGTGATCATGAAGACGTAGTCAGTAGTCATTTGCCTAGAGTCCTTAGAGCCATTTCAAAAGGCCTTTCAGAGTTTCTGTACAATTGCTATGGCGAAGCTGTGCCTTCATTCTAAGTCACAACCTAATACATATAAAAGGCTTATTTAAAATTAGATTTCTGCGGTGGTTATTATATGGCACCATATAGTCTGGTAGATTGTTATGAAAGTTTCAAAGGAACTTACTGTTTCAATTTTCAGAGCTGACGAGTAATCCCTTCCACCTTGATGATGGAACTACGTTCAATGCCTTACAGAAAACACAATGTTTGATTAAACTGAGTACGGCTTCTCACGGTTTTTCTGTCTCCCCAGGAAAATTCCAGGCTAGTACTTCAAAGTGGGCCACGACTGCCACATTCCAATTCATTACTCAGTACCATTCGAACATATGCAGTCACAGCTCCGTTAAATAAACATACATGAATGCAGTAATCCCGTTGCATGTATCAGCAAACACTGCGCTGGGCGTGACTGATCTGTAACTCCATCTCGGGACTGTTGATCAGATTTGTGCTGTAATGAAACTCCTGTTGTTGGGACGTTTGCATCATCCTCTCGCTTGCGTTGCGTTTGCGGAACAGCCCACAGAATGCTAGGAATGTGCCAAGTGCCATTGTCACTCGTTTAATTGCTCGAGTGTACAGACATTCCCTCACATTTCACGATTAAGGGATATTATTGCCAGGGAGGGAATGTGACGATACAAAAGAGAAGGCTTCGACAGCCTCCACAGCGCTGTGTGGGCGACCAGAGCCCCTACCGCGCATGCGTTATAGGATCTGACATCAGATATTCTGATTATTACGATAACATAGACGGAGCATGTAGCACGCACGGAGGGGATGCAGAATGCATTTCGGAAATAAATCCTGAAGCCAGAAGTCCTAGTGAAATGACTCGATGTAATTGAGTGATAACAAAATGGATCTCAAAACAGGCAATTTCGAGTGTAACTCATGAAGACCACCTTCCTGCTGTGTAGGCTTCCAGTTCTACAGATATGTTAATGTTGATTGTAAGCGTTTTATTTTAGTCTTGTAGAGAACTGAAAAATGCGTTAAATCCGTAGGATCGCCGTATTTGTAACTGTTCACCTATACCCTGTAGTTCACGTATAACGGGCAGATATGTTCATGACCTATCTCCATGCACAATATCACACGCCTAGCTCCAGTGTTTCATTAGTCATTGCCATAACACCGAATGATAAAGAAAATCTTCGCTCTGCCGCCTTATTGTTATTTTACCTGAATAAAATAGGTACATTTTTTCAAGATCTATTACAATTCATCATTTCAGGGCACTAAATTAAGTACTGCTAGGTCCATCCCCTAACTTGTACTCCTCTCCAAGTATAATTAGAATGAAGTCAAGGAGGATGAGGTGGGCAGGGCATGTAGCACGAATGGGGGAGAACAGGAATGCATAAAGGATATTGGTGGGAAAGCCAGAAGGAAGGACACCACTGGGAAGACCCAAGCGTAGGTGGGTGGACAATATTAAAATGGATCTTAGAGAGGTAGGATGGGGTGGTATGGATTGGATTGATATGGCTCAGGATAGGGACCAGTGAAGGGCTCTTATGAACACGGTAATGAACCTTCGGGTTCCATAAAATGCTGGGAAATTCTTGATTAGCTGCAGAATTGGCGGCTCCTCGAGAAGGGCTTAGCTCCATAAGTAAGTAAGTAAGTAAGTAAGTAAGGTCCATCCCATCTCTCAAGTTCGTGTGTCCGCCATGAAATTGTTTCTAGTAGTAGGAGGTGAGAGATTTCGTCGTAGCTTCTAATAACATGTCTTTATACCAGGTTTCTTGTAACCCGCTCAACCCGTTCAGATGTTGAGATGGGAAGGTATGCGCAAACATGGACACGAACAATTCTGTGGTCTGATCGGCCTGTGTTTCGTAAGGGAGGAAGATAGTCTAAAACAGGGTGTCAGAGTGTAGACTGGATTCAGCTGGCTGAGGATATTGACCAGTGTCGGGTTCCTGAACACGTTAATGGACATTCAGTTCGATAAAAAGTGGAAGGCTTCTAGACGATCAGTTCTCCAAGGAGTACTTTGCTCCATTGCGATAGAAGCTTGCATCTGAATCCGGTATTTCAGAAACTGCTCGACAGAAATTAGTTACTAAAGAAGGCTTTCTGAAACAAGCAGCAGATACATGTTTAATGATCGACTTTCCTCGTGCAGAGATCGTGGAGAATGTGAAGAATGGGCAGAAGGTGAGTTTCCGGCCCTCAGTGGACGAGCTGACGTGCGAGGAGGAAGTCGTGAACCTGATGAAGCGCTGCTGGACCGAGGAGGCGGCCGACCGTCCTGACTTCCACGCGCTCAAAACGGCCGTCAGGAAGATCAACAGGTGAGTGCAGCTTATGGGGGGGTGCGTGTGGCTTCGGGAACTCCGGCAGAGTGGGTGAGAAATTGAATGGGTAGTTTCGGGGCTACGGCGGAGTGGGTGAGAAATTGAAAGGGTGAGTTTTGAACTCCGGCGGAGTGGGTCAGAAATTTAAAGGGTGAGTTCTGAACTCCAGCGGAGTGGGTGAGAAATTGAAGGGGTTGGTTCGGAACTCCGGCGGAGTGGGTGAGCAATTAAAAGGGGTGGATTCATTCAAACCAAAAAAATCGTTACCCTGTACCACAACCCATTGCATATACCTGCATTCAATGAGAAACGGATTGAACCGATTTAAGTTAATTCAAATAATCTGAATTGCCACTTTGTAGAATATGCAGATTTTCACGGTTTGGGTCTTCTTCTCATATCGAGACAGCAGCAACTGCGCAATCGTAACGACCGAGCTGCGCGCGCGCTCATAGGCTCGGCACTGTCAATATGATAATAAGCGCGCACGTTATCCGTGTCGAGACGTGCTGTCCCGCTTACGTAGCTCAGATGCAGGCAGCTATGAGCTGCGCAAGGCATCAAGTACAGGCACTCAGTCGACGCTTCGAAGTGGCGGGAGCAAAAGCCCAAACCAATTTACCTGCAACTGAACTTCCAGCTACTGCGTGGATTTCGTTAAATGGTGCTGCCTCAAGCCCAACGTAAATTGTCATGAAACTGTCCAGCTCGTTTTGAAAATATTGTCATCACCACTACCACGTGACACTGAACGTGCAAGTGACGTTGCTCAGACGGTTAATTTACCGGCTTCCTACCGCGGCCACCCGTGTTCGATCCCAGGCCAGGTTATGTATGATTGGTGGCAGATAAAGTAGCATTAGGGTGGGCTTCACATGGCACTTAGGTTGCAGTTTCAATTATCATCCTATCATCGACGCTATAAATTCTAGATACTGAGAGGGTCGTTATATAACGAACTTGAACGACGAACGCAGCCGTAATATGGTTGGCACTGCTAATTCGTGTTCACTAGGTCCAGGGTTCAAGCCTTGTTCCGGAAACCAGCTGCCCTCATGGGAGAGATTTTCGTGTTTTTCCTCCGTCTCTCCCGGTACATGCTGGAATAGTGTATCGGGCTGGGTGTGCCCTTGCTCAATATTATCATTCCACGAGGAACCCAATTACGCTGCACCCCGCAGTTAATGACATCAAGAAGCGACGCAGAGACAGGAGCGGTGCTGGGGGTGCAGGGGACTCTGTGCTCATATGAACGTGATATGAGGAAGTGAAGTAATTCCAAATATAAATTCGTTCTCACGTAGTGGAGAGGTCCTCATCTAGCGAACAGCATACTGAGTGCTGTCAGGGCCCGGTCATTAGCCCCCACCCCGTTGCAAGGTGCTGGATGTAACAGACATTCACCCTTCTACCAGAAAATTGGGGTTGATCACTTAGGGAACCGTAAAACGTGGTAGTCGACATTTTGATATTGCGTCTTTAAGGTGGCAGTTGTGTCTGGGGACAGCGACCGAGAAGTTGGTATCGGGTTCGATTATCGGCCCATAGCCTGGCCCACCTGACAGAATTGTTTCGTCGTTTCCCTCAACCTTTCCTCAATACGGCAGAATATTACCTAAGAAAGACCACAACCGCTTCCTTACAGATCCTCTTCAATTGATCATTGACCAGTATGCTTGGTCATTAAGTCGAGAATCCAGCCGCCCGTGTACTGCAGCGACTCGTCACGTAAGTTGCTTACTCCCTTACAGTTTGTCTTCTTCTGTTTCAATAATTTTCACACTTCCCCGTTTTATGCTGTCATTTGCTCTTTGACGGCCATGTTTCATGGTAGTTTTGCTTCATAACCCTTCCAGGTCACATTACGATTCTCCACGAGACCTGTGTTCTCTTGCAGCTTCCTCACCACTTAACTTATTCACGGGCTCTGGGCTTCACTCGCGACCCATTTCCATCGCTGTCTGTCTGTCTGTGTACAGCAAATTTCGTTTCCGTGCTATGCACTTCTCGTAACCGAGGATTCGGGCAGGCCAGTCAGCATACTGACAGGACGGACGGAGAAGTGGGAACAATTCTATCTTCCCCACAGCGCCCCGACCGGCTCTGGATACCACCCAGTGGGTACCATGTTTCTCTTTTCCAGGAATAAAGCGGTCGGGGTGTGATATTAACCATTCGCCCCCCCCTCTAATGCCGAAGGTTAAGAAAGATATGAGCTATATGTTTACCGGAAGTGAAAGCCCACAGTGGGCCGTAGTGCCAATTTTCTCCCCTTTTAGATGATCGGCGCCGATCGTGTAGCTGTACTTTCTTGCTGCAGAATGTCGGCCTCCCCATGTTCATGTCAGTATCTGGGCTACGTTGCGTAGCAGGTGAATGGTGATTTGGAAAGAGTATGGAAGAAATGCGTTTTGGACTCTTCAACATATGTACGTGGAGGGACTACGGAATCCACGAAAGTATCAGTCAGGAAAGAAGCAGCCCCCGAATACGTATGTACCGCTGCAGCAACCTGCCCCGCCCTTAATCTTGCCTGTCCTCATCTCTCTCTCTCTTTTCTCTGTTGCTCCCACTCTGGAGCATAGGGCATCCGTCAAACGCTTTGTTTCACTTCAGTTTCTTAATCTTAGACAGTCGATAGGACCCCTTTGTCGGGGGATCAGCCCGTCGCAAGGCCGCTAGCCACACACGAACACAGAATATACGTAGACATCCATGCCTTGAATGGGATCTGAACCCACGATCGCAGTGTTCAGCGAGCAAAGACAGTTAATGCCTTGGACCACGTGACCACTGTGGCCGACGCCTATCCTTATACTACAGTTGAAATGTAAGTAACATTTCCTGTACCGAGTGGAGGGGCTGCATGCTGATGTGTGCGTATGTTGAGTGCCACAGTGGGCGAAATGGCGGAAACTGTTGGAAGTAGAGTGAAAAATGTTTACAGGGCACCGAGCACTGTGGTGTAGTGGTAACGTTCTTCAGTCATGTTCGCGAGGTGTTTGGTTCGAATCGCAGCAAGGACAGTGAGTGTCCTGACTTAGATTATTCGTAAGTTTCCTCAGTCCCTGCAGGTAAATTCAGGGCTAGTAGTTCATTTAGTTCATGACCGCTTCTTTCCAAATCCTTTCCAATTCATCGCGGGTCCCCTTATTCTAGACAACATGACCTAGCTACTGGAAGCGTCATAGGGTGAACCACAAAAAAAGCGGAAGAGTGACGCTAGCCGGGCTTGGCTTCTTGGCGTTCGGTCTCCCTTCTGGCTGGAAACGCTCTCGAAGAATAGGAGCAGGTTTTTAGGTGATTTGGACGGGGGGAAGGCTTGGAGAACTGCCAGACATCATGGAATTCGGTGAATCGCAAAGAAAGACAAATTAGAATCTTCTGTCACAGAACGACTTGCAGTATGTTGTTACACGAGAGAAGTTGAATCCAGCCTTCATTGTACGACGTAAATGGAAGGGGTAATTGTGCAGGTTCGTGTATTGCCGCAGACGGGGGACAAGGCGCCTCAGGGAGCGTAATAGCGTCAGATTGGTTTTGGGTGTTGGGTCATCATTTGTCTCCTTCGCATCAGGGACCACGAGATGGGCTGGATATATAGCATGCATGGAGGTACATGATAAGCGCTTATTAAATTATAAGCTGAAAACCTGAAAAGAAGGTGATGCTTTGGAGGAGGTTGGAGGATAATATTAACAAGGGTCTTGGAGTCTGAGGGTGTCCGGTTCCGAATAGTGTCCAGTAGCTGGATGTAGTGAACCTACTCGTTCCTTAAGAAGCAAGGAATTTAATGACCAGCTGAGCTCTTGTGGCTTCTCAGCCTCTGCTCCCATTTAGTGAGTTACTTGGACGAAATCCTGTCTCCATGAAACCATTCCAAAGTCTAGACACAAGACCGTGCGTTGCCTCTGAGAAACGTGAGATGGAAGGGAAACACTAAGCGTGACATCGGGACCTCTCTGCATGCGCTTCCAGCTTCGTCCTGCAGCGTCCCGACGCCCTGTACGTCACTCTTACTGCTCAAAGTGCAGCAAATGGCGCCAGGGCATCAGAGTTGCTAATTGTTCCCTGCGTGTGGGCGTGTAATTCTATTAGTTGGCCCGTAACTGAATGCGAGATGACCAGGCGACACTAGCGCTCTCCTCTTCTGCCTTTGATCGCTGACAGCGGAATGAAGCAGGAACCCGAGAGTCTTCATGTCTCTTCCCGCCGGGCGTTGCGATGGCAACGGTGCCTGTATCCTATCCTGGAAGTCCCGAGTTCAAATACAGGCCCGGAGACCAGATATCCTTAAAAAGTTTTTCTTGTTTTTTCCTCAGTTCGTCCACTCAGTTTATCTCAGATCATGCCACCATGCACTATTTGTCCTACAATTCGATGCTGTTAGCTGAGCTACTACCAACGTCGTGAAATAAACACCTGTCTCGGCAGCATCATAGATACATTGATTTGTAAGCCGCTGTAAGCTTGTACGAAAGTTTTTTATTTAAGCACAAGCGGTCAGGCTGACAGTCGTGACATCTGTCAGGAGCACGAAGCAATATTGCCCAGGCACAAGAATCCGACATTTCTTCCTATTTGGGTCTATAAAATTTTCTGTCACTCTTTGGTGGTTGCTAAGCAACCGTAACTGAGCTTATAGTGCAAAAGCGATCTATGTGTACCGCAATTTCGTTGCTTAGCAACCGCTTAATCTTTAAACCAATCACTACCCGGCACCGTCGTAATACGTAAATGAAACAGGTTAACTGGAAAGTAGACTGTGTATGCATAAAACATATTTTGAATAGGCTTGGCCGTGTGAGCTGGATTCAGCTGGCTCAGAAGAGTCTGCTGGTTTATTCTTGTGGAGGCAGTTAAGGAACTCTTTGGTTCCATGAAAGAAGAGAGATTTCTGTTCATGACATGACATGAAGACAGGAATTGCCGTCCCTCTGGTCCCACAAAGTCGAGGCGCCAAGCAGGCCGACCGACCTGCAAAGTTGTGCATTAGCCTCAAGTGGTTAGGAGAGGGCTTAAGTGCCTCTCGCTTATAGAGTCCTGTGGACAGATGGCAGTCCCACTATATGGGAACCTTCCTCTTGGGGCTACAAGTAAATAAAATGAAGGTTGATATGAGCTGCTCAGCCCATCTGACGTGTACTACGGGTAAAGCAGATCGGAGAGTGAAGCTGGCTGCTCATTTCCATTCAAGTTCTAATGAGTGGCTCTTTATCTCTAGCACCCTATACGCCGCCATGACTTAGTGGTAAAAAGTGTTTACGGCCTCGAAGTATCATTCGGTAACATGTAAAACTGGGAAGGAATACGGCAAAAATCAGGCGAAGCTGATAGTAGCATGTGTGGTCTTCATCAGATTATTAAGATGATCAGATCAAAGGGGATTGAATGTGCGAGTCATGTGGCACGAACGAGAGAGGTGCGAAAGGCCTGCTTAGTTCAAGAACCAGAAGAGAAGAGACGGCTTGGAATACCGTGCCGTCGATGAGGTGATAATATTAAAAGTTATTTTTAAGAAAATGCCCGAGGGTGTGGACTGAACTCATCTGATGTAGGATAAGGTCCCGTGGCGTGCTGTTGTGAACAGTGCTCCACAAATGCCGAGGAATTTCTTCATCAGCTGAGCGACTATTAGCTTCTGAAGAAGGTGTCTGTTCATGCAGTTAACAACAAAAGCCATTTACGTCCGTGGCATCCGTTCAGTTTGTCTATAATATAAGTCCCAATGTGAATGCGGAGTGAAGAGCCACTTGGAAGACCTTGACGTAGATGTAAGGATATTACAGTGGAACTCGGTGTGGTGTGAATTCACCTAGTTTAGGATGGTAATGAACATTCCGGTTCGCTAGAAGGTGGAGATTTCAGGCCATCTAAGCGACTACCAGCGTCTCAACAAGTAACTGTTTTCAGCCTCGCTGGTGGAAGGGAAGCAGTTAAGAGCACAGTACACACGCTGTCCGTGTTTCCCACCCTGGCATCGATCCGCCTATAAAGGCATCCCGTCCCCGCGTTACCCCTGTCGGGTGTCCCTAGGGCCTTACCCCCACAGTAGTGTGACGTCACAGGAGTTCGTCACGCCGCGAGACTCTGCTGTGCGAGTTGCATATACAGACGGAGGCGATCTCCGTCTGTATGTCACGTGTCCCCCCCCCCTGAGGGCCAGGCCGCCTCTGAAACCGGCTACTTGAATCTCAGCGCTTGAAACGAGATCATTAAATAATCAATAATCGAGTAAGCACCAGAAGGCAGGTTAAGAGGTGTGAAGGCCTCTGGTATCACAAGGTAGTACAGGGTGGCGCAAAAGTACCTCTGCAGTTTAGAACTGCCTCTGTATGGGTATGTATACTGCTTTAAAAGTTGTTGGAGCTCGCGATCACAATGCTAAAGGACACACAAGTTACTTCTGTCACATACGTCGTTGCCAGAAGAAGCCTAGAGAACGTCTTGCAATCATTCATTGGCCATGGGAACTCAGTGCTACCTTTGTATCACCCTGTATATTTCACACTGACTGCGTGTCTCCAGTGGAGATGCAAATGTAAACCGTTTGTGACAGAAATATAAATGTTGTGACATATAAATTGTGTAAAGAGGCGACAGTACAACAGCCGTTGCTAGGGAACAGCTCTGTGGACACGTTATTTTCTCGGCAACAAGAGAACAAGCAATAATCAATAATGGAAGGTGTTTTCTCTGCGGTCCGTGTCTGGGCTATATGACGAGGAATCAGTTGAGAGTTGCAGTTGCTCCTGGACTCCCAGGTTCTATATCCTAACTTCTGATGCTCTTCTAGCGAAAAATTGATTATTTCGAAAAAAAAAATATCCCGGGTGAAGAACGTGTACTTCTTGTCTTTATATAGAAACATTGAGCGCTGTTCGATATACGTAGTTTTCTAATTTTCGCATTCTTCAAACTTTCGTATATACCTTTGTATACCAATATGTTCCTCCGAAACGTTTATATTCGCCTACCAGGCGACAGAATTTAGAACACAATATAATACTGCTTTTTAAGAGGAAATGGGAATACTTTACATAGAAGCGGCGATTTTACTAGGCGAAACATAACGTTACAGATTATGTTAATGAGACGTGTTGTCTCTGCTCCTGTTCTCAAAGCTGCGTCGTTATGTTCCTACTCTATTCCGCCATTTTCTCCTTATATCCCGGATTTTGTTAAATCAGTACAGTAAAGGCATGTTATTAGAATTGAGACCCAATCAGAACTCGAAATTAATCCGAATTCATGACGTGCATTGAACGCGCGGTGTTAACCAAATACCCGCGAACAAGCTCACTGCTTTGATGCAGCTTCATGAAGACGTGTCTTTTCGGCCTGTGGAACCTCAGGGAGACAAAGGGAATTGTCTGTAGTGTAGCTGGAATTGTCAGTGCATAAGTGTTTGGTCCAACATGAATAGCTTCTTCTGTACGTTGCCAGTCAGAAGATGCCAATAATGTTATTTATTTATGCAGGATTTTAAGGTTCTCACATTGGGCGTGATATAATGCCGTGCAGTAATTTGAAAGTCAACCGACGTTTCGGAGGAACATATCGCCCCATCTTCAGGGTCGAATAAACCGAGCAAGGTACCAGCCTGAAAGCAAGTGGCAATCACCACATCACGCACGTTAGTAGGCCAAAACGTGCAAACATAAGAGTATAGTTGTACCGACGCGTTCACTTGTTTTCTTGCAGTGACTATGAGAGTGGCAACATCCTGGACAACCTGCTATCACGCATGGAGCAGTACGCCAATAACCTGGAGGCTCTCGTCGAGGAACGAACCTCGGATTATCTAGAAGAAAAGCGCAAATGTGAGGAGCTTCTGTATCAGCTGCTTCCAAAGTGAGTAGCCAGCACTGGCGACAGCCAGTCCATTTACTAGCCCATCAGTATGCTCCGCGGGAGTAGCCTCGTATGTCAACATGATAAATCGTGAGACCGGAGCTCACAGTTCCCCATTCGCTACAGAATATAGTCCACCCGCTGTCATTTGTTTCACGCAAAACTCGAAGTCTCTATTCAATTGTTCTCTTATTTTATGACATATAGAGTCGAACGGTATAATGATAGATGAACTGGAAATGATCTGGGAGGAAACGGTCGTGGCCAATTCTATATACTGTACCGTAATCTGCCTGGAAGGACTGAGGAGAAACATGAAGAAACTCAGTCAGGTTAGCCGGTGTTCTAGACGAGACTCTAAGCGAACGCCTCCAGATTATGAATCCAGAATGTACCCTGTCAGTTCGGCGATTGCTAAGTTAGCAGGTGAATCGATGGGTCCTGAAACTCGTAAACTTCACACCAGGATCCCGCGCAAGGTACGCCCGGAGTCTCACCTCCCCAAGTTTTACCATTCAGAGAAGCAAATTAATTGGAAGGTAAGAAGGAACTGCTGCTCCGTGAGCTGCCTACAGTCTGATGTCATTGTTGTGGAATTGTTATTGGTACTTTGCAATCACAACTGTTCATTAATTAGCAATGTTGCCAGTATTTCGTGAGCACGTGTTCATTAATAAGACTGAATCACTTGTCACATTCATGTTGCTCAGAATGAAGTTTGTTACTTCTCTGGCACTGTTGCATCCATAATACGCCGTGGCTATTAATACTCGCAAGTGGACTTTGGGCAGAAGCAATACAGACTCAACAGAACTGCCAGAACAGTTAAGCAATTCATTATTTCCGATTGAGCGGGTTGACCTAGCGGTAACGCCCTTCACTCGCATTGAAGAAGTGCTCGGTGCTAATTGCAGTGGGCTCACCAGCCATTCTGAGACCTTTAGTGGTTTTCCTCAGTCCGTCCAGGCAAATGCTGGGATAGTATCTACTTGTTTTCAGTTTCCTGAAGTTAATTCACAGTCCACCATTGCCGACCAAACATGGCGGCCTGAGACCTGCGATAACCTTGCCCAAGCAGCACACTATCACATTCTCTGTCTTTAAGTGAGCCGGAATTTGACTGGTCACAGAGTAGGGAATTAAATTTATGGTCACTGTTCTTCTTCCTGTTGGACCTTCTTAAAACAATTGTTGAAGAAAATTCTAGATCGATTAGTAAATATTTCCAGTGGCGTAGCAGTTTTAACATAGTACATCTGCAAGGGCCGCGCCATAGCTCAAGCAGTTAGTCGCTGGCCTCCCACCGCGGCGGCCCTGGTTCAATTCCGGGTCTGGTCAAGTGGGATTTGTGGTGGACAAAGTGCCTCTGGGGTAGGTTTTCTCCGAATACTTCGGTTTCTTCTGCCAATCTTCATTCCATCAAATTCTCCATCATCATAATCACCAGGGGCAGGCTACAATAGGCCAATCAATGGCCGCCTTGTCGAGTGAACCCAGTTGGACTCCAGCCCCCACTATGCGAATTTAAGAAAAAATTAAATTTTTAATACATCTGCATGGGAAATTGCAGCTGTCTCCCTGAGTGTTAATTAAGTTCTGTTGCCTGGAACACTTTTATTGCAAAAGATTTTTATATTATTCAGGAGAACGAACCACTAGAGGCGACAACGGGAAATTTCATTAAGTAATTACTTGCTTACAGTCAGCTTCATTAAACACCCTGAAGAAATGAAAGTGAAATTAAATTCTGAGAAGTGTGGTGTGTTGTCGCAAAAGAGTAAAATAAAATGTAGTATTATAAAAATGTTTACAGAAGGACAAGGGAGTCATAAAACAGAGGCAAAAAAATGTTTGTGGATAGAAAATGAATTTGCAGTCAGAATTCCATGACAGATTACTGCCAAACAGGACAACAGGACTGTGTGAAATCTTTGCACAGTAGTGCGAAGGAAGAAAGTGAAAGCAGCGCACGAGACTTATCCAGTAATGTCGCACAACAATTAGCAGCAATTTCATTCCATTTGACGCTATTCTTTGAATACACCGCACACAATTAGCAGAGAGAGAAGTTAACACGAGTTTAGGCGCTCAAAACAAAGACTGAAGCCATAGTGCTATTGTTTCCTGTAGGAACTGTGTTTGTGTCAGGTTCCATCAGCATAACCCTTGCGCGTATCTTCTGGTTCAAGTGACTCTAATCGTTAAAGGCACAAAACATCCACCACTGCAACCGAATGAAACTAAATATTTTTAGTCTAATTCGGAGAGGGGGCAGCTCTCTGCAATTGTCACCACAACTGCCATGAGGCATCCGTAATGGGCCCATCATGAATAGCTTCTCCTTGTTTGCTGCCAGCAAGAAGATGCGAACAGAATTTTAATTTGTGTCACTATGATATCATCTTCCACCACGTCACGTATTGTAAAAGGTAAAGCTATCCCTGCAACAGTCAGTGGAGGCCCACGGGGTTCTGAGACGTCGAGGCTCCCACATTTTCTGGACAATCGGCGCACAGATGGCGGTGGGGTTGTCGGTCTTACTCGCCGACCGCCCTTTACCCCCACGAAGATTCCTGATACTTATTTATGCTAGAGGCTCAGTCGATTCCGGGGTAATAGTGCGGCTGGAAGGATTACGTGTTTTGAAAAATACAGTGACGTCATCGGGAATCGAACCCGTGTCCTTCCGGCTTTTAGTATAGTGCTTCAACCAATAACGCTACCGCCCCACGTAACGCATGTCAATAGGTTCAGATGTATAATTCATGTCTTCTTTCAAATTGGTCTGTTTATCTGTCTGTCTCTCGTTTTCCCGTGTTCATTCTTAGCCGAAACCTGATCTAAATAGTATACAAGAATTGAGTTCATACCTCGCAGGAAACACATTACGTCTCCATAAAAAAGACAAACCGGTTAATGTGTTAGGGAAACAACCGCTGTTTGTTGTGAGAACCATACGGAACACATAAATACACTGTGCGGGCAGAATGCAGTACACACTGTATAACCAATCGGTTAATGCTGTTTAGGGAAACAATCGCTGTTTGTTGTGAGAATCATACGGAGCACATGTTGGTAGAATGCAGGCCGTGCNCAGGAAACACATTACGTCTCCGCTACAGAGCCCAATCGGTTAATGCTGTTTAGGGAAATAATCGCTGTTTATTGTGAGAATCATACGGAACGCATAAATACACTCTGTGGGCAGAATGCAGTACACACTGTATAACCAATCGGTTAATGCTGTTTAGGGAAACAATCGCTGTTTGTTGTGAGAATCATACGGAGCACATGTTGGTAGAATGCAGGCCGTGCATAAGTCCTAAGTAGCCGCTGAACTGCGGCTGGTGCCCCATGTCGTTTGCTCAGGCCAGCCAACCGTCCTGGCAATCACGCCGGCACCAGGGCCCAAGGGAACAAGAACATCAGAAGAAGGGAGCAGATCCACGTGCCAAAATGCTGCGCAGTGTCCTTCCGGCGCGCTACAGGTGCAGAGACACGTGTACAGACTCACGCCGAATCAATTTCGGCTCGGTTAGTCTGTCGGTATCGCTCGAGACATGTATTCGGAAGGTTCTCGGCCCGAATCTCGGCTGCGATACCACCTTTCCTGACTGAGGCTCTCCGTGATTTTCCTCAAAGCTATCGAGCAATTACCATCAGGTCACGACCCCTTGAGTCCAAATCTCACCAGTTCTCCTGTCTGAAGTCTGGATGTGACAGCGTCGTAAGGAATTACATTCACGCCATTCTTTGTCGGTTCGAGTCCGGAAGACAATAAGAGCTAGCGGGGCTTTCAGAATTCCCAGCCGCTGCGGCCACATTTGAAGCCCAGTCTGCGCATGTGACGGACCTTTGGATCCATCTGATCTGTTTAGCAGCTCGGATCGTGCCTGTGTGAGATCAGTCTTACTCTGCACACAAGGTTCCAAGATGTCTTCATATCTTTATTAGTTTTCACAGCAACTTTTCTTCTTCTTTTTGGTCGATTCCCCCATGTAAATAAGATTACCAGTTTCATCACACAGTTACGCTTCCGTGCAAGGAACTGTGCTGTTCCCGCAGCCTACCTCTCAGGCGACTGAAATGCATAAATTTGTGGCGAGACACGCAAACGACATTTTAAGATTAGCTGAGGAGATGAAGGAAGGATTTAGGGGAGGGGGTGAAGGGTGGGCGTTGTAACGGCTTACTGCTAGATGAACCTTCTAGAAATGGTTTTCCCGACGAGCTTATAATATAATTACCATTCAGTGGAGTTTACTCATCTTCTGAGAAGAAAGAGACTTGTACAGGCTGAGGACAGAATTCTATGAGTCGATGCTACCGAACCTTCTTAAGGTTGGCTACACAGAACGCTACGCTATGTTCGCTACATACGCTGTGTACACTCTGCGACGCAGCTAACATAGGGAACATAACGTACATAGCGTACGGAAGTCTATGTGGCCAGTCACATTGGCAATAAAGGGAGATATTTTTCTGTTCGTATAGCGAACATAGCATACGTAGCGTGCGTCGCGTACATAGCGCTGTGTGTGGCCGAACCTTTAAACCGTAAGGAATAAATATGCGTTTCAGGGGACGTCATGTAGATTTTCGGCGCATCGTAATGAAAAGTTTAAAAACTGCGCTGTTAGCTCGGTCGTTGCCTGTCCGTCCGCATGTACCTACTCGAGAAACGCAGGATAGCTCCAAGCTTAAGTGAGTGTGTCAACACATTAAGATCGTAGTTAAAAATCGGACAGACACTTACACATATTTCTGCAGGCACCCCGAAAGCAGCTCACTGAATATTTATCGGGGAGAAAATTTTTTCAGACAAACATTACAGAATACACATATTTTGTGTCTTGTACAAATTTCTCGCTCACTCGCTCACTTAAGTCTATAATGCAAACACAACTTTTTATTTCAAATGTCATAATCACATTTAAAATTCATAAAGTGTCATTAGAATGTAATTTTGTTGCTACGTGATTAGGCCTCACGAGGCCATC